TTCGGAGACACCATGCTCTGTCACAAGCATTGCTCTTTTTAAAAGAGATTAATTCACTTGCCGCATTTTGTCCATTGGTGAAAATCACAGGGGAGAGCAAGGGTGGCTTTCTCAGGCCTCAGAGGCCCTTTCAGCCACTCTCAGCAGGCAGCCACCCGCCCAGCTGGCCCAAGTGTTTGAAATGACTGCCCGCTGGGCATTCACTTGCAAAGCAACAAAATGAAACAGAGGAGACCTGGTTTGTGAAATCTTAACTTCTTGGGCTGCTCTGCATACAGAGGGGAAGTGGGGGAAGGGTCTACCCAGATGTGAACGAGGAAGAGTTGTTTGTGGTTGGGTTTGTATGTTGGGTGTTTTTTGACGTTTGTTCTGGTCTTTCCTTCATTTACCAGGTCCACCACTCCTTATGGAGACCTACTATATGGTGTCTCTTTTCATCCTTACAATAGGGATTAGTGTCCCCCATTTCACAGCGAGCAAGTGACAGAGCCCAAATCTGAACTCTGGCCTTTGGACTCCAGAGTCATTGCTTTTTCCATTACACCTCAGCCCTAAGAGGCATCATCACAGATTGATAGTCAGGAAGCTGAAGTCTCACAGAAGAACACCAAGATTTGCCTCCTAAGAACACCCCTCAGATTTGTAGAGCCCTTTCCTTCATATTTCAGTGTAGCCTCCTAAAACCTCTGTGAAGCTGGCAGGGGATTATGATCCCCAGTGAACCTATGAAAAAACTGAAGCTTGGTAAGATGATACACCTTCCCCAGGGTGTTAGAAGTAGTAGGTGGCAGAGCTGGGACTTGAACCCTGCTCTCTGGACCCTGCCCTTTGCAGAGAAAGTGTATTCTCTTCATTGAGAGGATAGCAAGTTTAGAGATTCCCTCTCTCCTAGCAGTCCCTCGCAGAAGAAATTCCCACCTGGCTCATGTCCTAGAAACCAGGACTTCTATCTCTGCCTCTTCCTGGTAGCCAGCATGGAGCCTGGCACAGAGTGGGTGTGTGTGCATATTTGCTGAATGAATAAAGGGGTGCCTAGAGCCAGCCTGGCTTAATTATCCAGGTCATCCTGTGTGATCATGTCTTAGAATCCTGGAAATTGGCCAACCTGCTACTACCAGCTTGAGACTAGAACACTTTGTTCCATCAAAGCGATGGAAATAGAGGTAGGGTGGCAGGCAGAAACCACCATGTATTGAATAGCTCCTGTATGCCAGGTGCTGGGCTGGGATCTCCTGGCAAATTAGAGATTGTTATCCTTATTTTGTAGATGAGAAAACTGAGACTCAGAGAAGTTCTTTGCTCAAGGTTATATAGCCAGACCAGAATTTGAATCCAGGTCTAACTTACTCCACAGCTCTTTATTAATGCTTTGTTTTTATTACACTGCACTGAGCCCTCAAAGGGCAGGACAACAAGGCATCTCAGTCTTCTTTCTTCAGCCCTGCCTCCAGAGCAGTGCTGCTTCCAGAATTCTCAGGCCCAGGCAGGGGAGCATGGGTCAGTGACTACTGGAGGCATGAGGGATTTTGCTTCTACTGAGCTTCTCATTGTCACTCCCTGCTTTCTCATTTCCCTGTTCTAGTTCATCTCCCTGGTTTATTACAGCAGCCTCCTGACTAGTCTCCTTGTCCTCATTTTCTGCTCCCCCCCCCACACCTTTCAAATTCAGCCTGCTTAAGCTATTAGATTAATTTCATAATTTCTTTTGCCTCAAAACCTTCGATGACAACCCTGCGTGTGGTAAAAGTTTAAAGAAAGGCAAACCGGTTTCCTCTCAGTTACCCCCTTCAGATGATTGATGGTGGCTGATTGGAACCTGTATTGAGGAGGATACTGAGGCTCTTTCAAAGGCTTCACAAGAAAAAAAGCTGCTGTGAGAGATTTGTGGTGTCTGCCTTAGAGGCAGAAGTACAGAGTAGGGGCACACATGCCAGGCATTTGCCAATTTTTTAGATTGAGTTTTTAACCTGAGGTCCATTATTGACTTCATAGGGGGTCTGTGAGCCCCTGGACTTTACATGTATAAAATATATTGTTTTTTAGTGTGTGCTTCCTTATGCACATTTCTGGGGAGTCATCAACTTTGATCGTATTCTCAAAGGAGTCTGTGGCTCAAAAAGGGCCCATGCCCACTGCCCTGGCCTCCTAGCCTGGCATTTGAGGCCCTGTGTGGCCCCTGCATACCCTGCAACTGTCTGTTTTTCTGCTGTGAACTGTCACCCAGATGGAGCTATTTGATGGTCTCTGAATATACCTTGCTGTTCCTTTCCTGCTTCTGAATCTTATCCTGTTGCTTTTGCCTTGACTGGCATGGTTTTCCTCCTCTCAACAGTTCTCATTCTTCAAGGTACAGTTCAAGTCTTTTCCTTCAGAAAGGGATCCTTGATTGGCTTCAGCCTGTCCTGATTTTGCATCCCCTGATTTTCTAGCCCTTTTGAACTAAAGACCAGAGAAGTGAGATCATCTGATCAAAATCACAGTTAGCATATCCAGTCTCTTTGACTCTCAGAACCATGAGCTCTCCACTGCACCACGTGGCTTGCTAACTTAGGAAGGAGGTTTTGTGCAAAAAGCAACTTTTGTCTCACAGAAAATTTCATCCCCGTAGTTCTTAGCCTTTTTAACATTCTTGGCCATAGAAATTACTTTTGGGTAAAGGAAGTTTAACAGTGTATGTGGTAAGAGACCCGGGTCTTTCACCAGAAGAAATCATCCAAACTAGAGGTGAGAGATGAAGGTTTCATAACCTCCTCCCAATACTCTCCTCTCACGTTCTATGCCCCAGCCATACTAAACCTCTTTCAGGGTCTCATATACCCCATGCCTTCTTCACCTCTGGGTGAGGAGACTTGGCCTGCAACACTCCTTCCCTTTTTCACCTGCTTTGTCTGGCTCATTCCCGTTTATTATCATCACCTCCTCAGAGAGTAGATTCCCTTGTTGTGCACCTCTGGTCCCTGTTTGTAAACCAAAACCAAACCCATTGCCATTGAGTCAATTCAGACTCATCGCAATCTTATAGAACAGAGTAGAACCGCCCCATAGGGTTTCCAAGGAGTGGCTGGTGAATTTCAACTGCCAGCCTTTTGGTTAGCATCGTAGCTCTTAACCACTGTGTTACCAGGGCTAGCACTCATCAAATGTGTAATTGTGTATTATAGTAGTCTGTCTTCCCACTGCATCAGCACTGTAAAATCATATAGACATCATGGCTGAATAAATGAAGTAGTACATGATGTGTCTCAGCATCCTCTCAAGTCTTAGTTACCTGCTTGCAGCACAGAAATTTCATTTGACTTGGGTCAAAGGAGTGTTTACAACAGATTGAGGCAGAATAATGGTGCTGGGACTCAAACCCAAGTCTCCAGACTCTGCCTAGTGCCCGCTGTGCTAAAACCTGCTAAAGAGTAGACAGTCTTCCAGTCACAAGCTGTAACCTGGCAGTATCCCAATCACCCCCACCCTGTCCTCATAAGTAGGTCCTGCCTTGATAAATTGGTTGACTTTTGGTCTCTCCCTTTCCTGGCCTCCTGCAGCACTTACGGTCAGTAACCAGACACTGTAGTCTAGATTTCATGCTGTCCTATATTGTCTTCTCATTATTTCATGTCTGAGTCCTGCCTCCACAACTAAATTGTATACTTCCCCATCACATATCATGTCTTCCCTTACCCCCCAACCCAATATCTAGTGTAGGACCAAGCACATATCAGACTGATTTACCAAAATTAGTTTGTTTTTTATGTTACATGGAGCCAGGTTCTGTCTAGAGGAAGGATGGTGAGGTGAGAGGGATTCAGCTTTAGAGTCATTATTGACCTGAATCCAGTCACTGTACTGCCCCTTAAATAGTTTTGTGACCTTCAGCAAGTCATTTCTGTGCCTAGTTACCATGTCCGTGTAAAGAAGAAATTAATATCAGCTTCTTAAAGTTGTGTGAAGAGTGAATGAGATCAAGTATGTTAAGTGGCTAGGGCAGTTCCTATCTGCAACAGGTGCTTAGTAAGTGTTGGTTCTGTTCCTCCCCTTCCGTCTATCTACCTCCTCATTGCATGGTTCCTTGTTCCCAGGACCCAGAATTCAGACTTTTTGTGCTATACTTTAAGCCTTGTGTTTGTTAATTTCTTCAACAAATAATTATTAAGCTCCTATTATGTGCCAGGCACTGGCATATAGATTTAAATAAGCTCATGTGGATTATTTGAGGAACATAATCTAGCATTCTTTGCATCTTTCCTTGGGTTAAAGGATTTCTAGTTTCTAAACAGTCAACACACAGATAAACTTGGTGAATGTGATTCATTTGTAATCTGGGAACTACCTAGATAAGAAGTATCATTAGGTGTTCTGTACTAAGCACTGGATTTGATGAGTCAAAAAAGCTTTCTCAATAGAAAGAGTCCTCAAACCAGGATTGTATCACATAGCATGAGAGTAGGACTAGAATAGGCAAAGAGGCAGAGAGAGAGCATTCTAGACCGAGGGGGTGATGAATGTCAGGGTATTAAAGTAGGGAAGGCACATTCTTTTCTCAGAAGGTTGGAAGGACAACAGCAGGAGGAGACTCTTTTAAAGAAGAAGGGCAGAGTTGGGGAGAACCTTGGATCTGAGGAGAGTGGCCAGAAGAGCTGGGATGGGGGTTTAGTTCTCAAAGCCCTCTACTACTTCCAGACTCACTCAGCCTCCCAATTCATTGACTGTCATTTCTTCTGTAGTTCTTTCCACTCTTCTTCTCACGGTGAGCCCATAACCAAAAACCAAACCCGTTGCCATCAAGTTGATTTCAACTCATAGCGACCCTATAGGACAGAGTAGAACTGCCCCATAGGGTTTCCAAGGCTGTAATCTTTATGGAAGCAGACTACTACATCTTTCTCCCACTGAGTGGCTGGTGGGTTTGAACTGGCGACCTTTCAATTAGCAGCCGAGCTCTTAACCCCTGCACCACCAGGACCCCTTTCATGGTGAGTCACACAATGAAAATATGTCTTTCTCTTTAGGCTGTTGTCAGAAGGTGCAGATGTCAATGCAAGGCACAAACTTGGCTGGACAGCTCTCATGGTGGCAGCCATCAGCCGAAACTACAGGTAAGAAATCTCTTTCCACACAGAGCTCCCTTAGCCAGATATCTGCATGAACCCTCTCCCACCCTTGCTTGCTCCCTCTGCTGTCTTTACTAGAGGCAGGGAGATGCACTTAACCTAAGGTACTGAACTGTGCCTGGTGCAATGGAAAGTGTAGGAGATGTGGAGTGGGAAGATGTGGCTTTGGATCCCAGCTCTATCACTCATTGACTTTGTGACCTTAGGCAAGTCACTTGGCTTATTGTGGCAACCAAATGTTTGAAAGCCTCTTGTAAATGATGAAGTATGCATGGTGAATTATCATCATCATTTTTATTATCCACCATCTATCCATGATGAGAAGTCTGCAGTCACTGCCCTCAGTGGGGGCTCCACTAGGCACCTTCTTTGAAGCTGCTGATGAAAACTAGGGAAGGTAGGGGGAACTAGAGAAGCTTTAGCTGTGATTATACAAAAAATTTGATTACATAAGAACGAAAGGGGATTCTTTCACCTATTTAAGAAAGTAGACTCTGGATACTTGTAATAGCAGACATTGAAATTGATAGGTAGAGGCAATAATTTTAATTGTCTCTTCAAGAAGGTCTTTAAGTAATAGCCAGTAATAGCCACCTTTGGGAGAGTCATATATGTGGTGGAAACCAAAAAAAAAAAAACACTGGGATTTTATAATACAGATGTGATACTACCTGCCTCAGGCTGGCAGAGACACTTGGCTGTACTTGAGATAGGTCTTTCTTTGCCCCTGTCGTGAACTTACTCCCAGCCACTCAGTTTCCTTATTTGCCTTCTTAAGCACCAGGTGCTTACTCTTTAAAAGAAAAATTGATGTAAATAACTGAGAGGCTTGGAATCCATTCCTGGTTCTTATCATTAGTGGTAGAGGTACTTTGCATGAATTTCACAACTCCACAGACACCCTACTTTTTATCTGAAATTAATCAGTTATTTCTACAAATATTTAGTAAGTATCTGCTCTGACCCAGACTCTGCTAATCTTTGGGGGATCAGAGACCCTGGGGAGCTCACAATCTAATGTGGAAAAGAAAGGCAGGTAAAGAGACATAGTCTAGTGTGGTCAATGATGCAGTAGCAGTGTGTACAGGATATTATAGAAGCAAAGGGTGTGAGGGGGGCCGAATCTGGAGGCAGAGTGGATTTTTGCTATATTGTTAGGAGAATCAAGTAAGATAATACGTGAGCTATAGGTTATAAATGGTGAGTTGTTATTCTCCTGTACTCCCACTAGACCTCTCCATATACAAAAATACATGTGCACATGCATGCAGTCAGAATATCAGGCATTCATTCATTCAGGTAATATTTTGTGAATGTCTGCTATGTGCCAGCACCAATCTAGGACCCAGGCTGGCTTTCCTTTGCACTGTGAGAAAATAATACTTCATTTTTAAAAAATTTTGCTTTCAGAAAGAGGAGTTTGAGTATATTTGTTTTCTTAAAACCGCAAGAATGTGGTGTTAGAGTTTTGAAAGTTCAGAGATTGTAAAGTGGAGGTTTTTGGAAAAGTGTAGAATCAATGGACATTTTCATCATATTCTCTTTCCTCATTTGCACCCAAGTGCCAGCTCAAGTTCTTGCCCTCTGTAAAGCTTTCAATGACTGATCCCATTTCCTATCTCACCTGTAGGGAGTTCTCCCACCTCTGAGCTCCGGAAGCATTTAACTTCTCCTTTTTCTTACAGTTACTCATATACATGTCCAATTCCTACCAGGCAGTGAGCTCCCTGACGGCTAGGACCTTTTCTCCTAACTTCTTATTATGGAAAATTTCAAACATACACAGAAGAGAATATAGCATAATGAGCCTCCATGTAACCATCACCAGCTTCAGCAGTTATCTAATCATGGCTAATCTTAGTTCATCTGTACTCTCCTCCCCTAGATTATTCCGAAGCAGATCTCTGTCTGACTCATTTTTACATCCTTTGTAGCACCTGGCAAAGTGACATAGTTCTTTGCACTTAGTAAAGCGCTTAAAAACAATTATCAGTTGATTCACTATTTGAACGTTCAACATTTGAATGTTCAGAAATCAAGTAAAGAAATATATTGAGGATCTGCTGTGCTAAAGGCCTACACCAGTAGCGCTAACAGCCAGCGAGTGCCAGCAGTCCTGTTTGCTCAAGCTGCTGAAAGTTTCTGCAGACATCACCTTGTCCTCTTGGGCACCAGTGTCAACTGAGGGAAGACTTAGTGATAGTTTCCAGCTTGTGCCCTTTCTACTCTTCGCTGGAGTTTGTCATTTAAGCCAACTGATCCAGGATTGGCATCCCTGTATATCTAATTCCAAAGTCTATTGCATTTTCCTTATGACCCACTGATATTCCACCCTGACCCACCAGTCTTCTTCCCCAGCTTTCAGGCATTTCCATCTGCAAGAGACAGCCACTGGTGGAGAAGAGAGAGGGGTTATATTCTCTTCTATATGTAGTATTCTCAGGGGTGAGACTGAATAGGAAATAACACTATACTTAAAAGTACTTTCAATTAGTAATCAGATAGCTAGTAGATGTGCTTTTGGGGATATTTCTCTCTGAATCTAATGAGTTGTTAGTTTAAGTGATTGCTCTGTCTTTATCCAGGACTATTAGTAGATCAGTGATGTTTGTTGACCCTGGAAAAGTGAGAATGATGGCTTGTATTTATTTGCTTTTGTTCCTAGGACTAATCATTGGCTTTATAAGCACCCATTTTGTGCCTCTTCCCCCGTTTTTCTAGTGCCCAAGAAGGACAGATTCTTACTGAAAATAGCACTCTCAGGTTGAGTTTATTTATTCATTTCACAAATATTTTTTGGCACCTACCTTTTTGCCAGGTACTGCTCTAGGTAACTGAAATACATCAGTGACAAACAAACACCTTTACCCTCATAGAGCTTATTTATATACTAGTGGTGGTTGGTGGGTAGGGTGAGGCAGAGACAGACAATGAACAATAAATATAATACATAAGTTAACTATCTATTAGAAGGCAAAAGGTGCTGTGGAAAAAGGAAAAGTAGAATCTGTATAAAAAGGAGTGCCAGTGGTTCACTGGTCAAGGTGCGTGAGATGGCCTCGTTGGAAAGGTGCCATGTGAGTAGAGTCTTGAAGGTTGTCAGTGTCTGTACCAGCAGAGTCTGCCAGTAAATTTCTCCTTATTAGAAGAGTGCTGATTCTGATATAATCAGTCACCAAACCCTTCTGGAATCATATTGGCCATTCTTAAAAAGTTACTATCTTTAGATTGGCTTTGGAGTAGAAGAAAGTAGAGGGGCAGAAGCCCTTGATTCAAGGCTGAAAGCAGAGAACCTTCACCTCCTTGGGAATACTGGTAGCCTCAAGCTCAAGAGAGATATCCTGAGAGTAGCTCAATCATTTCATCCCCTCAACATACCTTTAGTGAGACCTGTTTAAGGGACGAATTACTGTGTTGAATCCTTAGTACAATGGTCCCTATCCTTAAGGAGCTTAACTTCTTGTGAACTTTTGTTTATGGATATATATATTATTTAATTTTGAATAGGAAATGCAGTACTATGAGACAAAATTCAGAAAGTATGCATGGGACCCCTATGTTACACCATCTACAAAAATTAACTCAAAATGGATCAATGACCTAAATATTAGAGCTAAAAACATGTAACTCTCAGGAGAAAATAGAGGCGCATATCTTTATAATCTTAAATTTGGTAGTGGATTATTAGACATGACACCAAAAGTATGAGCAACAAAAGAAAAAATAGATAAACTGAACATCAAAATTAAAAAACATTTTTTGCATCAAAGGACATTATCAAGAAAGTGAAAAGATAGCCTACAGAACAGGAAAAAATATTTGCAAACCATTTATCTGGTGTTATGGATTGAACTGACCTCAAAATTATGTGTCAACTTGGCTAGGCCATGATTCTTAGTATTATGTAATTATCCTCCATTGTGTGATCTGATGTAATTATCCTCAATTATATGATCTGATGTAATAATCCTACGTGTTGTAAATCCTAACCTCTATGATGTTAATGGAGCCCTGGTGACACAGTGGTGGCCACTCACCAAAAGACCAGCAGTTCAAATCCACCAGCTGCTTCTTGGAAACCCTATGGGGCAGTTCTACTCTGTCCTGTAGGGTCGCTGTGGGTTGGAATGGACTTGATGGCAACAGGATGATGTTAACGAGGCAGGATTAGAGGCAGTTATGCTAATGAGGCAGGATACAATCTACAGGATTAGGTTGTATCTTGACAAGCAAGCAGAGAGAGGCACCTCCTACCACCAAGGAGGAAGAGCCAGGAGTGGAACGTGTCCTTTGGACCCTGGGTCCCTGCGCTGAGAACCTCCTAGACCCAGGGGAAGATTGATGCTAAGACATATGGAGATCTCCAAGGAACACCAGGCCCACAGATGTTGAAAGGAGACAAGGGTCTTCTTCCAGAACTGACATGGAGAAAGCCTTCCCCTAGAGCTGGCACCCTAAATTCAGACTTCTAGCCTCCTAAACTGTGAGAGAATAAATTTCTGTTTGTTAAAGCCACCCACTTGTGGTATTTCTGTTACAGCTGCACTGGATAACTAAGGCATCTGGTAAGGGTTAAACATCTAGAATACAAAAGAACTCCTACAACTCAACAACAAAAAGATAAACAACACAATTAAAAAATGAGCAAAGGACTTGAATAGATATTTTTCCAGAGAAAGTATACAAATGGCCAATAAACACATGAAAAGATAGTCAGTATCGTTAGTCATTAGGGAAATGCAAATCAAAAACACAAACTAGCAAGTGTTGACAAAGATATTAAGAAATTGTTACCCTCATACGTTGTTAGTGGAAATATATAGTGGTGCAACCACTGTGGAAAAGAGTTTGACAGTTCCTCAAAAGGTTAAACATAGATTTACCATATGACCCAGCGATTCCATTCCTAGGTACATGCCCCCCAAAACTGAAAACAAGTACTCAAAGAGATACTTGTACACCAGTGTTCATTACACCATTATTCA